ATCCAAATTGTAGAGTTTGACTGGCTTACTTAATTTACTACTTTTTTTTATCCTTTTCATTTAATAGATTTTTCTCTCTCAAATGCATCCCTTTACTTTTGGTTTTGTTTGGAATTGGATTTTAGATTCTTTTTTTTTTTTTGTTGCTTTCTTTTGATTTATCTTAGTTTAGTTATTTAACTTGTATATTTGACATGCTTATTTAATTTGGATTAGATCATTTATTTTCTTTAATTTTTTTATTCATATGATTAACTAAAATCATAGCTTTGCTGTCTTTTTTGTTTTGATAATTTATTTATTTTTGCATATTCCCATTATTCCTTTTGGTTTAAATTGGTCTATTTGGTATCATTATCTTTTTTTTATTATCTAATTAAATTACACCAAATTTATTTTAGTTAAATCTATGCTTCAAGTCATTTGAAAAAAAAAATACTTGCATCACCAAAACTTTTCTGTTTAATCAATAAAAGAAATATGCCCACAAATCTAATATACACTATAGAATATATTTATGGGATCAATTTTTAATTTCCACTGCTTTCTCTTAAATTTCAACAAGAGTACGAAGAATCCATTTTTCTTTTTTCTTTTTATGTTTTTTTGGAAGCATATGGTCTCTAATATTAGAGTTATACTAGTGTCCAATTTTCTTTTATATATATATAAAGTAATTACGGACAAAACGTGTTACATGTTAGAATTATGTTATAAGTGCATAATAACTGTTCCAATTAATAAATCACTCAATCGACAATTAACTGAACTTGTAGCCAAGTCGGCTTTCAATATTATATAAGCATGTTACATTAATTATATTATTGTTTTAGTATTTCTATATCAAGAAGTATTTTTTTTTCCATAAGAACAAGATATTTATGAGAATAAATTAAAGGGTTTGTTCATTAAATATAGGCACCTAATAATGCAAGTTTTGCATCTCATATAGCGAAAAAGGTCGTTCACACCCTAGAACACCACTCGTTTCCTCTTTCAGGCATATTAAAATTTAGAAATTGCTCATTTTCTAGTATGAAGATTTTAATATATGTTTATATTGTATTTTAAAAATATTTTTTTTTTAAATATATATATATTTTTATTTACTTCAAATAATTTTTTTAATATTTACCAATAATTTCAATATACTAATACCAAAATTATTATTTTAAAAAATATATTAAAAAATAACCACTACAACCCTTCCCAGCGCACCAATTTAAATATCAGACAAAGAGCTGGTCCAAGCTTGACCTCAACTCTCCAAGTCAGCTACCGACTAAAATTCGCGACTCCCATTTGATATGTCA